CACGTGTTTTCTGCCCAGTAAACAGTGGCTGCTATTGTTGATGTTGCTGAAGGTGAGACTTCTAATCAGTCAGTTGTTTGAGTTATAAAACATTAATAGAAGAGCCCCGAGCAAAAATAAGTTTGTGAAATGGTCCTAGTAGCTCTTAGGTGCTGTTGCCTGCTCTTAACGTGATGACCACTGAGAATGGGACCGATTGACTCCTTGCTCATAAATGGTAATATGCCTTGTTGTAGTCTGGCATGTGTGAGACGGAGGCTAGCGCACCACAGGAAATGCCCCTGTTTTTTTTAAAGTATAATCAAATAAACCATAGTTATTGTAGAAAAATAAAACAATATACAAAATTTTTCAAAAAATAGACACTAATCCCAGGGAAAACTGCTTAAAATTTGACATACATCCTTGTAGACTTTTTTTTTTCCCAGTATGAATGGTTTGAAGTTACAATTTGCTTTGACAGCCTTTTAGGTTTGTGTCCTAACTTTGACACTTGTGCATATAAATTATTTTTAGTTATTTTCAAAACAGTATTTATTTATGACCTAAAAATACCTAATGATTTGCTTTGAACTCCTATTTGGTTTGTACCTGGGTGTCAACACGTACATACATATATTTTTAAACCTCTGCATGAATCCCAGATTGCAAGCTCAGTATTCTTGGTTGCTTTCCATTTTGGAAGACTTAAAGAGAGCTGTCCTCTACCTTACCCTTCCCAATATCCTACCATTGCCTTCAGTGGTAGCACACGTTCAAGCCACAAGGGGGAAAAAAGGTCAATGCATCTATCTCTTGTATGCTGGCACATGGTCTCTTTCTCTCTCCTTCCCCCCTCCCTCTTTACCTGTACCTCTTTCCCCACATCTGTCTGTCTGCCCTGTTTAACCCAAACCCCCATTACCACTGCCGCTGCTCTCCCCCAGCCCGGGGCCTCCACTCACCCATGTCTGTTGGTTGGTCTGGGTCTCTGCTCTGTGTTTCCCTGTACCTGTATTTGTTTATCTGTTGGTCTGCCTGATTATCTCTCCCTCTTGCTGGAGCCATTCAAAGTGCCCTCCTCATTCAGGGACAACAGAGTGCTTTCTCTGAGCTGGTGCCCGACCCTGGAGAGAGGAGGGCTTTGAAAACTCAACTTGGACTCCTCACCAAACCACACTGCAGTTAAGCTTAGCATCTGGCCACCAGTTTGCCCACTTACTATAAGGTCTCTAATCCTACCCATAACTTGCCCATTTCTCTTTTGATCTAGGAACATTTTTTTTTTTTTAAGCTGGAAGCCCAGTTTAAAATCTTATGAAAAATAAAGGCCCACAGTGAAAGGATGAGGAGAGTCCAACTCAGCTGTAATTAAATTTGTTTTTTCCTCTTTGCTTTCTCGCAGAAGGTAAGCCAGATACTGCCCTTTCCAGAGAATATGTTACCAGACCATGATGTGAAGGAACAGCTTAATTCAGCAGCATGACAGGGATTTGAGCTGGCACTTTTCAGCCAGAATCTGTTACACGCATACTCACACACACATCACACAAGTCTGTTTCAAGTTTTAGTGAATGAAAGAAATTCACATGATAGATTGCCATTCTTAGTTTCTAAATAGCTTTTATTATTGAAGTAGAAAATACAATTTTTTTGAAATGTTACTGATACATCAGCTGACTTCTAATGTTAGGAAGCTTTGATGCTTGATTTTTTCTAGTGCAAAATCCTATATGAAGAGTTAATAGACTAGAAAAGAACTGTTAGCTGAAGAAAATGGCAGCAATGGACTATGATGGGAATAGAGAATTAAAAGGAAAAGCTTGAAGTTACAGTCAGTTCTGCTGTCACACAGCGTGCATTCCTAAGAAATTACCGTGTTGTACAAAATTGTGTAATACAATCCACATGAGACTCATTGGGAAAATGGGGTTATGGGCACAACACTCAAAACTTTGTGATACAAAAAAGATAGGAACCTAACAAAAATGGTAGCACAGTTTTACATGGATTAAATGGTTAAGAGTAGGTAAACAGAAGAAAACGACCTGACATTTGCTTCTGGAAGTAGGTGTTGGAAGGGCTGCAGCTTATGAGCCCTTGTGAAGTAGTGGACAGAAGGTTATCTGAAATGGAGGGAAAGTTGTAGCACCGGTTGTGCATGGGTACGGCTCCTCACATCCATGGTGGCCTGGGGTGGATGGTGGGTGTTTGGGGGGAGGGGTGTGTTTTGTGTACGCCCACGTGGCTCGGTTTAGCCAGGTGTAATTTTCTGCATTGACGTAGTGCTTTTTGCAGATGAAATCTTGGCAAAAGCAAGTGCAATATTTCATTACGCTCATTTCGTTCCTTAGTGTATCAGTGACTTTAGAATAAATTTACTTTCTCAAAACAAGCATTACAGCCAAAACTGTATTGAATTAGATTGAGAATTTTATTTACACCATTTGATTATCAAGAGAAAATGCATCACGTTTACTCTAAGACACTTGCTTGAGAATTCTGATCCCCAGAGAATAGTAGAAAGAGTGTACTTTGTTAAAGTAAAAGTTGTAGTTGGGGTTTTTCTCCCTCTTCCTAGCAGAAACATGGTATTATTCCTTTAGTACACTTCTACCAGAAGTGTACAAGATTGCTGTGGATGAACTTGGAGGAATATTTTAATATTTATTTTAACATATGTCAGAAAATGTATATAACAAGCTTATCAAAACCTATTTCGTAGATACTGTTGTTTGGAGAAAAAGCTCTCAATTGAGGGTGGTACTGTGCTTCACATTGGGTGATGTAAAAATGGATTGGAAGGCAGTTTCAGGTTGCCCCTGGCAGAGGGACACTGCTGGTGATTAAGGGGTAGGGGGCAAGACCTCTCATCATCCTGAAATCCTGTACAAGAATTGTTCTGTCTGAAATACCAGTGATACCCCCCTGAGAGAGACTGGTTAATCTTGGCTGAGGAGGAGGATGGAACAGTAGAGTTGATCATTTAAATAAAAATGTTGAGTAAAAAAGAGCATTTTATGTGGCTTTGGTAAGAATGATGAAAATAGTTTGCAGCTGATGGAAGTCTGGAAAGCCCTGGTTGAGAACAGGTAGTAGCAGTGAGCTTTACTTATTAGACCCCGATACAGAGAGCCATGGCCCAGGCCGTGTTCTCAGTGCTCTACAAATGTTAACTTACTCAGCCATGTCTAATGGTTCTGGAGCATTAGCCTAGTATGAGGAAGGCTCTCAACCTTGACTGCACAGTGGAATCACACAGGGGTGCTTATAAAAGTCTGGATGCCCAGACCACATCCCAAACCAGTTAAATCAGAATCTCAGAGGCTGGGACTCAGTATTTTTTAAGCCCATTATGTTATGCCAGTGTGGCCAGGTTTGAAAACCATTGGTCTAGGGCCATTTGACAGTCACTCCTCCTCCTCACAAGAAAAGCTATACCAATAGTTGCAAATGTTAATTGAAGGTCTGCTCTGTGCCCTGGCTCAGAGGGGCAGAGATGACCCAGACAGGAAGCTTCACCATCCAAGGGAGGCGGCAGAACTGGAAACCAATTTTTATAGTCCTGGCTGACAAGTGCTGGTGCTTGGAAGGATTTTCAAACAGTGTTTGGGGATCACAGAGGAGAGAGAAACTAAATTAGAAGTGGGGGGGGACGACGACCTCTCGGGTGCCAAATTTGGAGAATTATTAAACTTAAGTTATTTTAATTTCCCCTCCCGTACACATAACTTTCATTAGAGGAAAAAAAAAATCAACAGGCACTTAAAAATCACTGTCAGTTTAGCCATCGTAACTCGGTTGTGGCCTTTGTGTGGTCCAATTGGACAACTGGAATTTTGTCTGTAAAATAGGTTCTTAAGTACTGCATAAAACGTCATTGAACTAATGGCCTCCTGGGAATAAGTCATCTCAGCTTCCCAGAGAGCCTCAGGATTGGTATAAATGATCTTTAGAAATAAACCATTTGTATGATGCTTATAATCATTGATTCTAGTTTGCGTAATTTTTAAAATATTCATATAGCTTCTGTATTGTGGTAAGTAAATATTGGATCCCATACATTTTAAAACGTAGAGTTAAGCCATGTGTCATTTTAAATTGCAAGTTTAATTGAGGACACTCACTAAGCTACCATCATAGAGTACTTAAGTAGATAAAGTTACTAAATAATTTACTTGTTTCAGATAGTAGCATCCTTCAACAGCTCTCAATTTATTTAGTATGGATTGCCTTATGCCGAGAAAACCTGATTCTCCAGTGGGTAGACTTATTTTCAGTTAAACCCTGTGTAGTCTGTATTTAACCATGAATTACTTCCTGGTTTAAAAAACAGGCGTAGCTATTTGTGGTATTTTTGTCTTGCGCCTTTGGCATCTTAGTGGTGTGAACCAGAGCTATGCCATCTGTAGTCGAGTGAGATTATTAAAAAAAAAAAAAAAAAGAGGGAGGGAAGTGATTCACTGGAAAATTGTAGAACAGATTCTTAAAGAATGATAAGATAACCCTAGAGACATTCTTATTTGGTGTCATATGCTGGTGGGTAGTGACAAAAAAAAAAAATAAGGTACAACTTGTTTCTTAACATTTTGCAATTCTGAAAATTGGAAAGATACTGTGCTAGCAAGGAAGAAAATCCATGCAGTGTCAGTACAGCTCTGCAGATGAATGAATAATTTGCCTCTCCCAACTGCAAGTTGGAGTGAGGTTCATTTCTAGCCTGCAAAACCAAATATTCTCAGGTTTAGAATGGCTGTTTAATTTCCTAATGGCTATCTATGTATGATAAACCGCTTTATGCTGAGATGTTTCCGAAGCAGAAGGACTAGTTCCTAGAATCCTAAATAAGTCTGTGGGGCCTAGATAAGCCATTTCTGAAAGCTGCTGAGTTAAATATATTTTCACTTAGTGACGCATATTTGAACCTAAATGTGTTGATTTCAGGGGACTCTTCCAGGATTCCATTGGAGACTTGCCTGAAACCATGTCTTTTTTTTTTTTCTTCCTGTTTTCCTTTTCAGAAAGAAGACATAGCTCGTCCAGCAAGCCTTCTTCGGCCGTTCCTCCCACTTCAGTATTTTCCTTCTTCCCTTCTCTGTCCAAAAGCAAAGGAGGCAGCGGGAGCGGAAGCAGCCGCTCTTCCGGTGGAGGTGTCTTAAGCGCATCCTCATTAAGTTCCAAGTTGCTGAAATCACCCAAAGAGAAATTCCAGCTCAGGGGGAACACCAGGCCAATGCATCCCATTCAGCAAAGTAGAGTCCCCCATGGTAGAATGTGAGTATGGCCATCCAAGAGCGTTCTCAAAGCTTCTCTGCTGCAAGTGGAGCTGTGTACCCCAGTGGCATCTGAGAGTGCTGCGGATAATGGGGGGGAGAGGCTGCTGGGGGGGCGGGGAAGCAAATAGATGTTGTTTCTTTTTGTCTCCCTATCCTATTTGGGGAGGCTTTACAGAATAGTAATAGTAAGGTTGATAATACTGATACTTTATTGTGGGCCAGCTTTGGAAACTTGGCTCTCTTTGTGTCCTGTCATTTGATTATCACAACAATCCTATGAAGCAGGTCTTGTTATCCCCATTTTGCAGATAAGGAGAAGGAAACATAATAAGGTCGTGGAGCGTTAGCCAAGGAGCACTCCCGTCAGACAGGCCTGGGTTCACATGCCCCTTCTGTCACTTCCTAACTGCAGGGCTTTGAGCGAGGCACCGTTTCTCTCTCAGTGTGAGAATAACAGCCACAGTGCAGAGTTCCTGGGAGGAGTAGAATTAACATGGTAGCGTCAAGCACCTGGCCTAGTGTCTGGCCCACAGGAGACAGTAAATGAATGGACACTGGTGCTTCTGCTGCTGCCGTTGATAACAGTGGGAATGAAAAGGTGAGGTGATTCCTAGGTGCTGTGCCAGGATTTTCTGGAGCCTGCAGAGCAATAGGGAAACAGTGCTTCCTCCCCCACAGTCTTGGGTTCCCATCACAGTAGTGACAGGGGAAGACTGGAAGAAGTTCCCACTGCCAGGCAAGGCTTTGGCACGTCTGCACAGTGGGTCTCGAGGCTGCCAGGCTCCTTGTGGTCATGTGAGGGAGCAGCCCAAGTGCTCTGCAGAAACCTATTTTGCCTCGTCATGGCAGCCCTTGGCCCTGGTGGCGGGTGGCTTTTCCCTGGCCTGCATCCCTTTTGGAGGGTATGCCCCGCATCTCTGTCCCAAGGTCTGATAACCTGGTTAATCTCAGGGCAGCGTCTCGCACCTGCTACCGCTCGAGGACCTTGCCAGCTGGGAGAGGCCATGGCTTCTTGCAGCACCTATGCTGCTGTCGGGCTCTTCCAGGTACAGCTGTTCGGTGCTGTTTGTCCTGGTTGCTGAGCCCCCAGCCTCTGCTCATCTGTCAGGAGTACAAGTACAGCAAGCTTGGCTTCCGTTCCTGGACCTGTCTGAAAGCCAAAGAAAATGCCAGTGCTGTGCATAAGTCACTTGCCAGCTTAACAGCTGCTGGAGCACTGACTTCACTGAACAAAGTTTATAAAACCTCATCAATCCACATCTTCTTTATTTGGATGGAGCTGGGCTTCAGAGGCGGACCAGGCCGACTGTTAGCTTTGTACCAACATTTGCTACCCAAATGGTAACGTAAGATGCCCAGAAAAGGCAATTCTTTATTACTGGCCCAGGTGTTCAGTGCTCACCAGCTGTGTGCCGGACACTTAACTTCTGCGCTCTTATTGTATATAGAGACTCAGAGACTGGAGAATTAGCACTTCAGTGACACGTCACATAACTAATTAAACATTGGCCTCCTTCATTGACAGGGGCAAAAAGCCTCTTCTCAGAGATGTGGTTAGGCTCATTTGAATTTTTGTATGTCTGCAGAGACGTTTCGTGGACCTATTCTCTAATTCCAATTATTCTTTCCTCTGTTCACTCACTTTACTTAGTTTTGATGAATCCTTTCTTAAAAATGATAGTTCTCAAAAGATATTCTCTAAAGGTTTTGCAGGTAGTCTTTGGTCCCTCTAGACCTTTTTATGTTCTGCTTCTTGCAGGAATTGAGTTGGGTATCAGGTGTAGGTCTCCCATAGCCTCATGTGTAAGATTGTCCTGGATGATGAAAGACCAGGTAAATCCGACGGTCCATTGGAACTTTTTGCTTCACCAAGAGGGCTTAGAGACTGAATCATCATGAATCTTCCTGAGTTTTCTGGGCAGTCCCACCACATTTTCATAAGTTTCCTTTGGGGGCCTAGCTCTGTGCAGTGCATGGGTTGATGGAGGCTCTGCCCTCTGCCCTCTAGCTCCCCACTTCCTTGGGGCTGCGGGGCCCTCAGGGGCTGATGTTCTGCTCCCCCTCTGACAGCATGACGCCCTCTGTCAAAGTGGAAAAGATTCATCCGAAGATGGATGGCACACTACTGAAATCTGCGGTGGGGCCCACCTGTCCTGCTACTGTGAGTTCCTCAGTCAAGCCTGGCCTTAACTGCTCCTCAATACCAAAGCCAACCTTGCCTTCACCTGGACAGATTCTGAATGGCAAAGGGCTTCCTGCACCAACCACTCTGGAAAAGAAGTCTGAAGATAATTCCAGTAACAGGAAATTTTTAAATAAGAGATTATCAGGTAACTTCACATTTTTTGTCTTAATGTTTCTCTGTATTTTAATTGGGCATTCATGAGGGAGCAGATGGGCTGCTATCTGTCAGTCCTCTCTTTAAGACTGGTTCAGCTTCAGCTTTAGGAGGAAATTCCTTAAGTATGATGTCTGTCCTCTTCACTCTTGCTTTTAAAAGTACATGGGTCTCCAAAAATAAAAAAGTACATGGGTCTGTAGGTACTGTAAAACTAGCTTTCTCGGGTTGTCTTTGTGAATGGAGTGGTGCAGTAGTGCTGACTGCACACTCTCTTTCCTGTCAAGTGATGGCGATAGTCCCCCGCTCTCTTTGTGGTGTGCACTGCTTTGCAGGGCTCACGTGTTGTAGAGTTTATACTTATTGATGATGTCGTAGATTTTATTCAAGTTATAATTTGTCTGTTTTGAGATTGCTCCTTTTGTTTTCAAAATAAAGGAAGGAATGTTTGGTGAGCCCGTGGTAATGTCTGTGTGCTTTTGACAGAAAGAGAGTTTGACCCTGACATCCACTGTGGGGTCATCGACTTCGACACCAAGAAGCCCTGCACCCGGTCTTTGACATGCAAGGTAGGTGGCCTCCTGGACGGGACTGGAAACTCTCCGGTAAGCACAAGGAGCTGGGGTCCGTGGCATGGCCCCCTAAGTCACTTGAACCCGGAGGGAATCTGATCTGTGGATTGTTCTGAGGGGATTGTAAACGAGGGGATGGCTGGGCTTGGATGAAGAATGCCTGCAGTTCAGAAAATGTGATGTCTTCTGTGATAAGCTGCAATCGTAAGAGGCATTTTGCCCCCAGTGAGCTTCCAGTGTCATACCCAGGGGAAGAGTGTGCTTTCCTAATCAGTCTGTTATTTTCAAAGACTGTTAGTATTTCTGCAGAGAAATTTAATGTGAGAGGCTACCCTTCACTGTGGTTTAAATTGTATGGACTTAAAACAAGTCCAGAAATTTCCTTTGCCTATGTGTGAATATTCTTTTAAAATGCTTGTGTAATGTGTGGTTCTTAAATTTTAAAGAGCCACTTTAAAATCCTCTGATTTTTAGATAGACACACATTTTTCCAGTTCTAAGAAAATACTAGATAGTATACAATCTTACTTACTAAGTGAAGAAAATGTTATAATCCTCCTTTCTGTCCTGAATTTTCCCTCAAAATGCTGGTATGCTAATAAGAAGGTGGTGTATTTGCTGTACAGTTGGAGTTGCTGTGGAGTGGCTTTAGTGGACCCCCTGCATAAATGAGCAAATGTGCTTATGTGCCTTTCTGCGTAGAATGTCCCCAGCTACCCTTCAGAAGGGTTCAAAAACTATTGAGAATCATTGCTTTAAAGTAATGTAAAAACACTTTTTGGAGAAGGGGGTAAGAATTACAAAAATGAGTGTTCTAAAAATTTAATAAAATTTTTGGTGTATTATTTTAAATTTTACCAAAGATCATGTTTGAATAAAGGACTTCAGGCCCTACTCCACCCCCTAACAGTGGAGGAATGTTAAAAATCTTCAGAAAGTGGAAATGTTGTTTCTAAGTGGTTCTTATTTCAGTTTAAATTTCTAATTTAATTTTAGCATGTAGATTTTATCCTACAACAGTGGTTCTGAAGCTTTTAAGGAAAGGCGTTGGCCAAGAGCTCCTTTAAATATCTAACTTAAAAAAAAAAAAATCCCCAAGGAAAAATATCTGTATACACATATATATTCTGAATTTTGCATTCTGTCGCAGGGGTTCACACATATCTTGACCCCAAGCCCCAACCCTTGAATTCCCTAGGCTAAAATCTCCTTTCTCCGGCCATACTGCTTTTATTTTATATAACATTAGTTGAACACAGAGCGCCGTGTGTTGTTGGAAGGTAGCCCGTCGAACTCTGGAGAACTGTGGCCTGCCGCAGCCGCCCCAGAGGGAGTTTGCGAGTGCAAGCCTCGGCCGGGTATCCTGGCCTGGTCCCACCCAGCCTGCCGCCTGCTCTCGGCTCTCTTGCCGCCTCCCTGGCTCTCGGGACCCTGGATCTCTCAGTATTAGGGTGCCCGTGGTCGATGAAGAATGCTTGCTTGATCCAGAAGGCTTGGCTTTAATCATCTCCAGGGCATGCCAGTGGACCCAAAGCTTTATCAATTCCTAATGTGCAGGATTGACCAGGCTTCTCCCTGAGCCTTTATCGACAGTGAACAGACCTCATACGGGTCCTGCGTTGTCGTCCCGTGTTCCTTTTTCAAGTCGTGTGTGCTCTCCGTGTGTTCTGTGAAGGGTGGCGTTTGTGCAGCACGGTGCGGGGCCTGCTTTCATGTGAGTTTGCATCCATAGCCCTGGCGTGCCCCAGGTCAGCAGAGAAGTGGCAGGCCTGTCCTTTCGCAGGTGGCCCTTCCTCTCCTCCTGCGTTCTGTTTGCCGCTGTTTCTCCCACTCCCTGCCTCCATTTTGGCCTGCATCTCTTAAGCTGTGGAGGGCTGCCCGTGCTTGAGGGCCTCCCCGATGAACGTCTCCCACCTTCCCGCCCGGGTCTGTCCTGCCTCAGACCGAGAATGTCGTCCTTCCTCTTCAGGCCTGGGGTCCTGCTGCTGCCCAGTCTGTCGCTCGTCCCCTTTGCCCGCCACCCTCTCGGTCCCCTCCTCACTTCCTTGTCTGTGTGATGTCCTGTTTCATGTCCTCTCTGTCCAACATGCAAATGAAATTTGGCTCTGGTTTCCTTGCCCCATCAGCCATTGTGGAGAGTTGATTGCACATATCTGAGCACAGGCCCCATTCGGGTCTCAGTAGATTCAGGCTTTAATAGAATCAAGGCACAGTCCCTGGCCTTGAGGGGCTTACAGTCTAGTGAACGAGAGGGAGGTTACCTTCATAATCATTCGTACATGGGTCAAGTTACCACTGATGAGTAATTAAACAGGAAGGAAGCCTTTGTTATGACAGCCTTCAGTAGGGGATTGAGCCAGGGAGGTCTCACGTCTCCTTTGCCATAGGAATACTGGGCTGAAATCCACAGGATTTAACTGGGCAGAAAGGGGTGGGAGAAGCCAAGGAAGCAGTCTGTGTAAATATTCAGTGATGGGGCAGAATAGACATACGTTCGGGTCTGAAAGGGCCGCCAGGAGGCTGAGGAGCAGAAGCAGGAGGAGGTACTTGGTACCAAAGGAGTGGGGTGTGGCGGGGGCGAGGGGTGCAGGAGCCTAGTTACATACCCAGTCTTTGTCCTGTGATACTTGGGTAGCCCTGAAGAGTTCTGATGGGGAGGGAAGCTCCATGGAAATCCTGGTTATTCTTCAAATCAAGCTGGGAAAATATTGGTCATCTCTGCCTCCTTTCTTAACTTGGTCTTGCTGTGCTGAGCACCAGGGGACATTCAAAGATGAGGAATGGCTTCCACATCTGTCTAGAGAGACGGGCAAGTGGACCAGTGATGTTATATATTCATTCATTAATTCTCAACACATAGTAGAGGGCCATTATTTTTACATACTTTGTTTGAAGCATTTCCTGAGTGCCAGGTGCAGTACTAGGTAGCTAGAACAAAACAAAGTTCCTTATCTTCATTTAGGTTGCTTTCCTGTGGATATATTACATATTAAAGGAAATTAAGTAAAAATTAAACTGAACACGCTGGTGTAACCATCTATGACAGCTTAAATTTGGGGCAGGCATAGTTTGCAGTAGGTCCAGTAAGGAGGTAGGTCGTTACTGAATTTCAGAAGGACTTTAAAAGCCTAATTCCCCTTCAACCCCTTACATCAAACCTCTAAACGTCTAGAGCAATAATACATTTATATAATGTGTAAGGCCATAAACACACACAAAGTACATTTGCGTTACTTTTGTAACATAAGAGTGGAGGAAATCTGTAGATGAATTAACTTGTATTTGCAGTATGTGATTTGTGGCCACTGTCTCCTTACATTTATTACAGACTAAGACCCCAGCAGTAGCGGAATAGTCAGTTAACTTGACTTTATCTTCTTCTAGGAATAGTATTAGCCCTGAGTGAGCCTTAAAAAACAAACAAGCAAACAAAAACAGGAATTATCAAATGCATTTGGAGTGTAGACATTTTTTATAAGATACACCTCAAGCATGGGTTGATGTTAGTTACCCTGCTGAGATTGACCTTTTTCTCAGTGTGCCCATTTCCCAATTCTGAAATGAGATGTTGTCTTAAGATCCAGAAATGCTGCGGGTCCCATTTTCTTGATTTGCATAGTGAGTGTCTGTTTATAGGGATTGACTCTGCTTCATCTCTTCGGGTTCACACCTTATTCCTCTCGGCCTTGTAGTCATTGCTTCTATCCAGGCTTCCTCGGCCAAAGCACTCCCCACCTCCAGGATGCTTTGAGCCGCTTTCTCTCCTGACTTGGCATTTCACTGGAATAGAGAGAAACACTTGTCTAATATTTATTCTCTGGCTGTTACTGAAAAAGGAGTCCCTGATACATTTTTTAAAAGTAAGCTCTACGCCCAATGTGGGGCTTGAACTCACGACCCCAAGATCAAGAGTCTCACGCTCTACTGACTGAGCCTGCCAGGCACCCCTCTGGTACATTTTTATGGCATAAGTGTTTTATCCCTTTTAATACTTAAAATCTAAATGGCCCAAAGAGGGATTTTTCTGTTTCAGTTGGTAAGAGCCCCGATAAATAAGCTGTTACAATGGCACAAAGCATGAGTCCCTAACACCTGTTTGTTTCTACTGTTTGCCATTCACTTACATACCAGGTGGCACAGCCAACACTCCTTCTTTCTCCTGGTGGAAGTAACAGCACCACATTCCCATATATTTGGAGCCTGGAATATGTACTTCTATTCTAGCAAAAGAAAAAAAGGTCACACTCCTATGATTTTTAGCTTATCACATGGTGAGCAGCCTTTAACTATGCTAATGGTCCAGATTGTTGTTTTGTTTTGTTTTAAATTGGGAATGGTGTTTTTGGATATATGACAGAGAAACAGTTATTGATGAGATTCCTCAGTTTTTGTATTTTTTTGGTCTGTAGACACATTCCTTAACTCAGCGGAGGGCTGTCCAGGGTAGAAGAAAACGATTTGATGTGTTATTAGCCGAGCACAAAAACAAAACCAGGGAAAAGGAATCGATTCGCCATCCGGACTCTCAGCAACCAACGCAGCCTCTCAGGGACCCGCAGCCCACCCCTCCTAGACCTTCACAGGAGCCACACCAAAACTCTCACGGAGTGATTCCTTCTGAATCAAAGCCTTTCGTAGCTAGTAAACCTAAACCTCACACCCCCAGTCTTCCAAGGTAAGCCAAATCCTCCAGCGCTCTCCCTCCTTCAGAGAACAGACTTGCAGACACTACAAAACCCCAGTGTAGTTAGGATGTCGAGGAGTGTGCATCAGGCTCACTCTAAGAAGATGAGAGATTTCTTTGATTGGGTTTTAATTTAAGGAAAAAAATCGTTGAGTTCATCAGTAAGTTTCAACCAGGGCTCTTCTTGGCCAAATGCAAGCAGCAGAATGAAGCAAGAATGATCATCTCCACCCCTGCTCAGCTTCAGGGGTCTCTTAACCCCACTGAGCAGGGCTGAGACTCGGGTCCTGACTGCAGGTTAGTGCCTGGAATATTTCACACGGCTTTGGCAGCAGATTCCCATTCACTTGTCTCACTTCTTGCAAAACACAGCAGTGGGAGTCCTTGCTGGGGATGGGCATTCAGCCTGAGTTTTTACAGCATCCATTTATCAACCTGTTTTTTCATTCATTCATTGGAGACCTGGGCCTAACTCTGTATTAGGCATTTTAGCCGTTTGGTAAGCGATGGATCTGAGTGTTTCACGAGAACTTAATGTACGTTCCTTGGAGACAGTGAAGGTGGACTTGAATATATGTGTGTTTGTGCTTGTATATTTAACAAAGTTGAAGTAAAAGACTTTGTCCCCAATTTCTAGAGGGAAGGGAAAGAGAAAGGTATAGAGAATGAGGGCCTGCCCTGTCGGACACTGGCAGCAAGGGCTTCTGCTTAGGAACATGCCAAGCCCTGGTTGCTGTGCGCAACCTTTCCCCCTCACATGCCTTTTCCTTGACATGGTCACATCGGGGTAGAAGTGGCTGCCCATGGAAACCCATGCGTGTAGTCGAGCCACTCCTAACACGGGCCCCCTGGTCTGTGAGTAGCGTGGTCGGGGAGCAGTGGGAGGCGGCGCCCCAGAACGTGGCCAACACCAGGCTGGCCGTTCTGTGGCAAGTCCTTTCTCTGGCCATCTTCTCGTTGAAATTTTTCCATCTGTAAAAAAGTAAGCTTAATTCTAGAATCACCAGGCATTCATATATGTAGGAAACCTACAGTATTGCCCCTGAGTTGTAGGCCGTAGATTCTCCACATCACGTGGTCATGCTGCCTCCTTTTATCACCTCCTGTCCCTCTCAGGGTTAGAGCACGTTGCCAGTAACCTCATTTATTGCCTCAGTAACCCAAGTCCAGGTGAAATTTGAAGAGGAATCAAAGAAAGACTTCTCTTAAGTTCCACTTCTATTTCCTGTTCTCTGGGGAGAATAGGAAGAGGCCCCGAGCCATTCGATCAGCTATAGAAAGGAGAACCATTTACAAGTTACCTTTGGGTAGATCTGGCAGACAGCTTCATGTGACGTCGTGCAGTTCAGGAGAGTGGATTCTTCGCTCCCCGGCCACCTGATCAGCATCTGTTGCCCCCAGTGCTAGTGGGGGACCCCAGGCCTCCCTAGGTGGTCTCAGACACGTTCTTGTATCTGGGTTAAGGCGGCTGATTCCCAGATGTGTGATCTGATCGGTGCTGCACTTTCTACTCACCAAGGCCTCCAGGCTGCCCTGCTCAGCAAGGTGGGAGTGCCCCCATTGACCCTCCTCCAGTCCATGAATCTCCACACCCTCCCCTGCCTGCCACTGAGCCAGCTTCTCGGTTATCCAGTGAGGAGGGAGAAGGCGATGACAAAGAAGAGTCTGTTGAAAAACTGGACTGTCATTATTCAGGTCATCATCCTCAGCCAGCATCTGTAAGTTCCACATGTACCCCCGTGTTGACCCTCCCCACGCAGCAGGGACAGGGCACTGCAGGGGGGCGTGCCGGGGTCCTTGGCATGCCCGTACGTGTGGGAGACGTGGTCAAGCTGTGAGAGCAGCTCAGAACAGGGCGCCCCAGAGGCGGCATGCACTCTCTCCTGGGACACCTCGTGCTTCTCCCTTTCTCTTCCATGAAACTCAGGGCTAGGCATCTTCACTCTCATGCTTCACAGCCTACGATACTCAGAGTAAGCTCTTTGATGGTTAGCTCCTTTCCTGAAGGAGAGAGAACCCTCACCGCCTGTGCTCCTGTCGGAGTGAGCAAGCATGCGCGGTTGTGTTCTCTCTTGCAGTTTTGCACATTCGGGAGCCGGCAGATTGGAAGAGGCTATTACGTGTTTGACTCCAGGTGGAACCGGCTTCGCTGCGCCCTCAACCTCATGGTGGAGAAGCATCTGAACGCGCAGCTGTGGAAGTGAGTGCTTGTCCCACCACCTCTGGGGTGCGGAGAGGGGACCGACTTTACCCCGTGCCACATCCTGTTTCTTATGGGACTGATTTGATGATGATGATGATGATGATGATTTAATAAGCTTATCTAAAAGTTTATTTTCAAGCGAGCAGGGGGAGGGGCAGAGGGGGAGGGGAGAGAGAGAATCTCAAGCAGACTCCCCACTGAGCGTGGAGCCCGACGCAGGGCTTGATCCCACTACCCTAAGACCATGACCTGAGCCGAAATCAAGAGTCAGACGCTCATGGCGCCACAAGATAAACTTATCTAAAATGAAAACGTGGCCTTTGACTGTCCCTGAGAAGGCCCCTCTGATCATTCATTCATTCACTCTTTCAGCAAATGGGTCTTGCTCTGGGTGCTGTGGTTCCAGGCAGAGGGACTCCCACATGTCGGGGGAAACACAAAAACCACGAAGCAGAAAATCAGTAGAGATTATAGCTTGTCAGAAGGGAGATCGTGGAAGCAGCAAGAATCACTGACACTTACTGAGAGCTTACTGTATGCCAGACAACTTAGATTTAATTTTCACAATATGCCGTCTCGGGGGACCTCGATTATCCCTCTTTTACCTAATAAAACCAAGAAGTAAGGTCACACAGCAAGTTGGTGAGTAGGGCCAGGATTTGGATCCAGAGGCAGTTTGGTTCCTAACAAAGAGTGGTGATGGGAAAACAAGAAGCCAGAGGGATTCAGGGAAAGCCTTGCTGAAGAGGCGTCCTTGAGCTGAGATGGATGGATGAGAAAGAGCGGCCGTGGGGTGGTGGGGTAGAGCGGGCGCTAGGCAGAAAGAACCGTATGTGTCAAGGTCTTGAGTCAGAAAAAATCGTGGCTTGTTTGAGAAAAAACAAGAAAGCGAGCATGCTCTAAGATGAAACTCAAGAAGCTGGCAGGGGCCAGATGACCCTGAAATTGATTCTTAGTGCAGTAGGGAGCTGCCGAAGGTTTCAGGAAGAGGAGCCATGTGCTCTGGTTTACAGCATGAGAGAAGACAGTCATCTGGTGAGCCATGATGTGTGCTAGTGTGTCCTACGTGGGATTTTAAGTGGAAGAAGAGTTTCATGGCCAAAAGGCTCAGCTTTTTCTGAAGTGAAATCGTTTTCATTATTGCAGGGCTTCTCAGAGCCTTTAAGGGGGCACACTGTTCATTGTAACTGTCAAAGCAGGGGAGATCATGTATAATGTGGAATATCTCCCAAGTTCTTTTGACCTGGGAACCTCTTTTAGGGGAGCATCTTAGGGAACTAATGTTTGGTGGAACCTACTTTGGGAAACCTTGAGTTTTGCTAAAGGAACGGGGCTGTCCAATCATCCACATGTCATTCCATATTCTCCATTTGGGCATCATTTACTAGTGCCTTCCTGAGTGGACTCTGCCAGTACATCCATTTGCCTTACTGCCTTGGTTTCCTCATAAAGTCAGAGGAAGCTGGTCAGAGGCCTCAGATAGTCCACAGTCTGAACTAGCTTCATGATCATTAATATGACTTGCATTTATTCTCTTAGAAAATCAGACCCAGAGCAGTGCTGCTCTGCTTTTCTAGTTCACATTTCTTCCTGGTCTCTTATCCCTCTTTATGAAGGAACTTGGTCCTTGCTTAGAAAAATGAGTCCAGACACTGGTTTGTTGGGATTCTGGGGGACTCTCCACATCAGAAAACCCCCAAATAGGTGAAATCTCAGCTGCTTATTTCTTCAGACGACCTGTTAGGACTTGAAGAGTTCATTGAGCTCCACAAGCTGTGGATTTAGTGTCCTTCAAAGAGTTTAGCAGGGTCCTCAGAAGGACTTATTCCCATTATACTGATAAGTGGTTTATGGCCAGCAGTTGGGGTGAATATGGTTTCGGTTCATAGTGGCTGGTGTGGGGAGGTTTTTGTCTTTGTGCCGTGACCTTTTGAAGGCTCAGAATCATGAGGTTGTCTCCACAGTCTCTTTTTTCTAAGTCAGAGGCCGACTGCCTCATCAACCACTTGATTCCAGCAAGGAGAAAATCATGCCTTTCTGTTAACATGAACTTTGGTTTTAAAAAAGCCAGTACAACAGACAGGCGTTTTGCTCAGTGGTGAGCTGGCACACGGGCCTGGGGCAGACCGGAGCTTGGAGAGAGGTGCCGGGAGTGAGGCTGGCCAACGCAGGCAAGCTTCTCAGGCAGCCCCTGAGATTTGCTGGAAGGAGCTTAGCACTTCTCAGTTCAGGAACAGTCCTCAGGTGGCATCTTTGACTTACTCAAGGAAACTCCCAGAGTGGTCCAGGTCCCATCCTACTGGCTCAGCCAAAAGTCTTCCCTTCCAGGAGATCCCCCACTTTCGGTGGCAGCCTTCTCAGTCCTTTACCCTGTAGTTACTTGTTATGGTTAATTTGGGGATAAGTGGAAATGGGATTTGAGTATGTCAGTGAAGTAAGTTATCTTCAGTGTATGGAGGCTGAACAGTGGGGAAATTAGACCAGAATTCCCTCTGGAGCATGGCCATGACCCCAAAGGCCAGTTCTGAGCTCCTGTGATTTCTTTCAACTGCTTGTGTGCTATTGATTGGGGACCTCTAATCCACACATCCTAAGGAAGGGATGGGATCCTTACAAAGGGATTTTCTTTGGCAGGGGTGGGCCTGGGTGGGGGTAGAGTGGCGGACAATGGTACTTAATTTTTTAGATGGGTAATAAATTCACTGGGGTAAAAAAAAAAAGAAGAATGAATGTAAAGAGGTATACAGTTCAGAGTTTTAGTCTCCCTGACCCCCACATTCCTATTTCCCACCCCACCCCTCCACAGACAGAAGCATTTTTATTAATTGCTTGTATATCTTTACAGAGTTCACTTATACAGACATAGGTCAGTACGACTGCATATTCTTTCTTTTTTTTTAAAAAAAACATTTATTTATTTGAGAGAGCGAGAATGAGAGAGAGAGAGAGTACATGAGAGGGGGGAGGGTTAGAGGGAGAAGCAGGCTCCCTGCTGAGCAGGGAGCCCGATGCGGGACTCGATCCCGGCACTCCAGGATCATGACCTGAGCCGAAGGCAGTCGCCCAACGAACTGAGCCACCCAGGCGCCCTCTTTGTCTTGTTTTTATACGAAAGGTAATGAATAACTTAAAAGAGCTTTTTTTACCAGGAACCAGTATATTGTGCAGAGAGATCCACATCTCTCCCTGTCTGGAAGCTTTTCTTTTTTCCAGGATTTAGTTCCAGCCGCCTGGTCTTTAGGCTTCATCTCCCTAAGCCCCCTGGTGGCCGCGAGGAGCCACTGCACCCAGTGAGCAGGAGCGGTGCTACACCCCTACCTTCAGAGCAGGGCTTCCCAGAGGTGCCAGTGCCCACAGATTGCCTGGGGATCTTGTTGAGATGCAGATTCTGATGCAGTAGGTCGGGGTGGGGTGCGGGGACTCCTCATTTCTCATAAGCCTCTCAGATAACGTCCGTATCTGTCCTCTGTGATAAGCATGGGGGTAGAGCCCTGCTTCTCAGTTTTTGCTTCATTTTTTGGAATCTCCTGGAGATTGAGAAACTTCTCATGTCTGGACCCTGCCCTACAGGGATTTGGGTGTGGTCAGTCTGGATGCACTGGTCTCTGGGGCCAGAACGACACCCCTGAATGGGGTGGTTACAGCTGGTACAAATACAGTCAATAGTTGCTTTTATTAATAGCTCTAGGCCTTACAGAGCATCTGGAAAGCACTTTGGCAGCAGTTGAGGACACCTCATTTGGAAGATGAGGAGCTGGAGCCCCAGCTGGTGCAGTGACTGGATCCGCCAGAGCTGCCCCACAAAGTCAGGAGCAGTCCAGTCTGGACACTTGCCTTCCATTCGGGCCGTTTTCTGTGTTTTCACCTGGGTGTTAATTCTGCCGTAGGGGTTTTTGAAATTTTGATGCTGTCATACTCTAAAATCAGAGCAAAAACAAAAGGGTTTTTGACCTCCCACGTTTGCCATTTGAATGACTCTCATCTTCAGATAGGTACCTAGCCCAGACATTATTAACAGAATACCTTTTTCCAATACTGTGATTGGAAACCCCGGGAGCTGTGATTCAAGCCTGTAGGTAGGACCTAGCAGTTGCTATTAAATCGCTGTGCCCTTCCTTTTTTCACATTTATTCATGAATTCCCTTAACATTTGCCTGCCTTCTGTATTCCTGGCACCATGCTGGGCACTGGGATAGTTAAAAATACGCTGTGGACTGCTCTGTCTGTAGGGAAGTTAGACCGTGATCAGCAGTCACACATGGAAACTGCTTTGCGTGCCCCCAAGTCTGGGAACAGGCAGTGTGAGTCCGTGGAGGACCAAGCGAGTCAGGATGGTCAGGACAGATTTTGTAAGAAAGTGATGATGGTCTGAAACTGAGGGGTGAGTGGATTATGGGGTCAGAGCGTTGTAGGTGGCAGATGGACAGTGCCTCACGTCCAGGCCTGTTCTGCGATGTAAGCAAGGTCGGTGGGTGGAATCTGGGAACTGGGCTGGGGGGTGGGGGATGGGAAGAGGCAGCGTGAGGCTGGGGGCCGGCAGGGAGTGAGGCACGCATGCTTTACAGACCATTATTCGGAAAGCCCAAGGAAGGCATGAAGGAATTTGAAGGAGAGAAGTGGCAGGAAGGATGGGCTGTGCATTTCAGATGGACCCCTCTGACAGGTGTGTGCTGCTCAGTGGCAGAGGTGAAAAGTACGCCCATCTGAAAGCTTCCGTGAGCGGCTGTGGCGATGGTTACTCACTGTCCTCTCTCTTTGCAGGAAAATCCCCCCGGTGCCCAGCGCCACAGCCCCCGTCTCCACACGTGTTCCTCATCGGACGAACTCGGTGCCGACAGCACAATGTGGGGTCGGCTGTCTGGCCACAGCCACTGTGTCGACATCCCCCGTCCTGCTTTCGGCCACCTGCATCTCCCCCAACAGCCGGTCGGTACCAGCTCATGGAACCACACTGAATGCACAGCCCGCCGCCTCCGGGGCCGTGGACCCTGTGTGCAGCATGCAGTCCAGACAGGTGTCCTCCTCATCCTCGTCCCCCGCCACCCCCTCTGGCCTTTCCTCAGTGCCCTCCTCCCCGATGTCCAGGAAACCTCAGAAGTTGAAATCCAGCAAGTCTTTAAGGCCCAAGGAGCCCTCTGGTAACAGCACTAACTGTCACAATGCCAGTAGCAGTACCAGTGGCGGCTCAGGAAAGAAACGCAAAAACAGCTCCCCGCTGTTAGTTCACTCTTCCTCCTCCTCCTCCTCCTCCTCCTCCTCCTCCTCCGCTTCTTCTCATTCCACGGAGTCTTTTCGCAAGAACTGTGTGGCGCACTCTGGGCCCCCCTACCCCTCCACGGTAACATCTTCCCACGGCGTGGGCCTCAACTGTGTGGTAAATAAGGCGAACTCGGCGAGTGTCCGGCACGACCAGTCAGGGAGGGGCCCCCCGGGGGGGAGCCCCGCTGAGTCCATCAAGAGGATGAGTGTGATGGTGAACAGCAGTGACTCCACGCTTTCTCTCGGCCCATTCATTCACCAGTCGAGCGAGCTGCCCGTCCGCTGCCACGGCGGTTGCTCACACGCTCACACTCCCCTGGACAGACTGCTAGGAAAGAAAAGAAAGTGCTCGCCCGGCTCCGGCAGCGCCGGCAACAGTAGCGGCAAACCCACGAAGGTTGCCAGATTGCCCGCCGCCAACAACGTGCATGTGAAGCACGCGGGCGCCAGCCCGGGGCCCCCGGGACTGACGAACAGTTCCCTCCCTCATCAGGTAGGAAAGGGACTGTGAGCCCGGTGGGGAGGCCCACTTCCTTTCCCTCGAGCTCTTCGGCCAGCCCAGAGATCGGTGTGCTGGGGTTGGTTGGTTTGCCTGTAAACACATGTCCAGCTTCGTGGTCTCTTTTCAAAAAGGAAGAGCTTGTGGCCATGTGAAGGTAAAACAGAGTTTCTCTGCCAGAATTTTCTAGGACTTGGAAGATGCTTCTGGGTCAGGAAACCACGAAGTGCACTTTAGTAGCTAGGGCCGCAGAAGCCATCCCGCGTGACGGCAGAGGGCCCGCCGCAGCGAGGCAGTGCAGGCCCTGGGGGCACGCGCGTCCTGGGACACCGATCCGGGAGGACGCAGGCCGTGCGTGCCTGGGGACTGGTTCTCTCGTTTGTTCCTCTGAAGACAGCTGGCCTGCAAGCACACTGATCTAGAAAGGAATGGGTTAAATTTTTGAAAGAAAGACCCTTTAATTTTCCCACCAAAGGACTTCAGATTTTCCGGTTAACTCTCTCCTTATCTTTTCTCCCAATTTTTCCAGGGAGGCAGGGAAGCAGCAGTAAGTGTGGGCAGAGACGAAGACTAAAATCTCATTTAAGTGAAGAGATGAGAAAGAAATGTGAATGCAGGCCCATCTGTAGAACCGTGGCTAACTGGGTGTCAGATTCATAATGACCTGTGACTCTTTGTCTTGTGCTCTCTGGTCCCCGC